AAAGGAAAGCTAACTTTGATATAGTATATGGCATCAGCCATGACCAAAGGATAACCTCTAGTAAGTTAGAAGCCCAGAGAGAGGCTTGAAGTCCACTGAGGCAAGTCATATCTGGCGAAAGTATGAGTAAGTTGCTTTTTGATTAATTAATATAGTTATTATTAGGAAATATAAATTTTTTAATTTAGTTTAATTTCAAATAAAAAGTGATAGAACTGCTAAATTATAAAAAAAATAAATAAGTCAATATAAGAAAAGCTTCATATATTTTAAAATTTTTATCTATCTATAAGCATGTAATTTCTAGAAATCCTTGTTAATTTCTTGTTGTTCATAAATTCAATATCAAATATACAATTTATTAGTTGTTTCTAATTATTGTTTTAATAAGTTTGTTGAATTGTTATAAGTAATATAGATAAGTTGTTTTATAGTTTATTCACATTATAATGTAACAAGTTAGACCTATGGTTAACAAGTTATCTTACTTGACTAAGTATACAAGTAATTAAGAAATGTATTTATTTAAGTTTATAGAAAAAACAGTTTATAAATAAGATGAAATATTGTCAACTTATTGTAATGCAACATTCACAAAGAAAAGGTTATAACCAACAAAGTTTATAAACAAAAGATAGATTTATTAACTCAGATAATACTCAAAAGAATAATACAGATAAAACAAATATATAAAGCAAGAAAATACAATAATTCTAAGAAAAATATTACAGAAAAGGGACTTATTCCCAACAAAGGTAATATAAAAATACCAAAAATAGGACTTATTTCTAATACAAAGTTATAATAAAAATAAAAATAGAATCTATTTCCAAGACCAAAGTATATAATAAAAAGGTTATAGCAACCAAAATATGGGGACCAACTGTCCTCTTGCCTTGAAAAAAGAGATAGAGTTTATATATCTTTTTCTGGTATATTAATTTATTATAAAATATAGTAATTAATTAAAGAAAAACATCTTTTATTAATGGAAGAGCACTTTCTACTATAGCATAGGCACCTTTAGATAGTGGATAGGTACTTCCAAATAGTGGATTGGCACCTTAGAATGATTAAAATTAGAGATTAAGCATCTTTTACTATGACAAATGCACCTTTTAATATAGGATAGGCACTTTTTAATATAGGATAAGCATCTTTTAATATAGGATAGGCATCTTTTGATATAGCAAAGACACTTTTGCTATTTTAGATTTGTTTGGCTTTGTTTATCATTAATGTTGTTGTTACATCATTCTGGGCTGTTCTGGGACACCATTTGTGTTTGGATAACTTGGTCTGGGTTCTATTTATATTAAACAAACTAATAAATTAAATAATTAAATAACTATTGCTTTAAATGGAATTCTGTAAAAACTATTTTAATAAAGTTAATAATAAACTATCATTTGAGTAACTAAAATAAATAAATATATTATAAACTATATAAATAAACTAATAATACTATAAAATATACAATAATAATATAAATAATATAATAAAATTTAAGAGAATATATAATAAATATATAATAAAAATTATTAATAAAATTTGACTAATAAAAATTACCTAATAAAATATATTTAAATAAATTTGACTAATAAATTTGCTAATATAACAACATAATCCAGATTATGAACAAATTCATGAAATGATTCCTTTGATACAAGATTTAATGGTAAATTTTCATGGATGAGAAGTTTTAATAAAGATCAAACAAGAAAATTATTTTTGCTTTTGGATGAATTTTAGCAATATTAATTTGACTATCCTAATAAAAATGTATAAATCAAGGATTGTAAGATATAATATTTAAACAAATTACATTAATCTGCAAAATCTTATCATGATTCTATGTATTGAATAAAGATGATGAATAAGGTTCGAAGTTGATCCATCCACAACTTTAATTCTTTGAGCACACATGTATTATCATCTTTTATAATCTGGCATTCACTATATTGGGCCTCTTCGCCATCTTTATTAGTTATTATGATCAAATCAATGTGTTGCCAAACCCAGGATCATTTTTTAGACCCACCACATCTTTCTAATTTCTGTTTTTTAGAGCTATTAGTAACAGCCTCCTCTATACTCGAGTTTGGTTCTTTACAAGCTGAAATATCAATGTAATTAGATTCATCCTCTTCATTATTCAAAGAGAACTCTATGAGAGTATCAACAGAAGGTGCAATGTCCTTATTCAATATTAAATCAAATTCCATGTTTTAACAAAATGTTGTGAATAAACAATAGTACCGTTGTCCACTGCCTACAGTATCCCCCAAAAATAATACCCCCCATGATTAAGACCTGGGTATTATTCACCACCCTTACTGGCTTGTTACTTGAATAAGACCCGGGGGTACAACCATATTGATTTACTACTTTTAATATGATATGTCCCCAAATATAATACCTGGTTCTTCACACAGTACCCACGGGTACTATTCAATTTTAAAAATGGAGTTCTTGAATAATACCCCGGGTACTGTAGGCAGTGGCCAACGGTAGGTCTTTACTGCAAGTCGAACTCAGATATGCAATGATCCACAGTTTTACGTTTTTTGTGTATTATAAATATTCAAGTGAAAAGACTAAAATTTATTATTTATTTCGTTGCCTTTATATTACAAATTAATTACATCATTTACGTCATTAATTTTTCATTAACTCCCTCACTCTTTACTTATACTTTCTTATTGATAAATCAATCAATCAATTAATTATGCCGTTATACCATATTACCAATGGAAATTTCGTTCAGGCTCGGGTTGATCTAACCCAAATTGGTCAAAATATTCCAAATCGGCCAAAAAAGGGTAAAGAAATTGTTATTTTGTAATCAATCAAAAAATTCATTACTATTAAAAACATATAGTTAATTTTAATTTTGACTGATGCTCGATGATTGAATGAGTTTAAAACTCAATGAATGTAATTTATTTCGATGTTCGAAATTTTCGATCGATGTTCGAATAATTATTCACCGATTCCACCCTCTAGCATTTACATCCAAATTCAAATTTTATTTAATACATGTATAAACATTAAATTTTCTTTTTTTTTTTTTTGCCATTGGCATTCTATTATTTAAATCTTTATTAATACAATTTTAGTATATGCAAATTTGGTGTTATTATTACATGGAATTGAAGGAATTGTTTGTAACTCATGTGTCAAACTTTAAATTTGAAGTTAATGCTTCTATTAAAAGGTGTTTTTGTTACGCCCACTTCAAGCTTTTTGGCTCATTCGAAATCTTTAATGTCATCTGCCATTTTTTGAATAGAATTAAAGTTTGATTCAATACTTCGAAGCCATTTTTTAATTTGGAAAATTATTAGATTGTTCAAACAATTAAACGTCTAAACATAAAAGTAATAAATATATTTTATTACATAGGGATACAGAATCTTGAAACAGGATAATATATGTAACGTCTTTGATCTCGTTTTTACTAATGAATATAAAGAGTTTCAACATAGTGTTGAATAAATGCGTGATTAATGAATGCATCCAAAAAGCAAGTTTAAGCACATTTGTGTCAAAACTGTATACCAACAAAACTTACAAAAATCATTAAAGCTGTATTATTTAGATATTCGAAATTTTTCTTTAAAACGTCACCAATCTTTTTAAACAAGCAAGCTGACCTTACTGACCGTTAACTTTGCCATCGTACTGAACTGCTTAAATTGAAATTTATGCTCGCAAAAGCAAAGTATTCTATTTCTTATTGTTCTTATCATCATAGGCAATAAATTGCACAACGATAATGCTATCAACTAGCAGTTGTATTGCGCTACACAATGCGAATTGAAGGGGTGAAGTCTCACTGTAGAAAACGTAATAATATATTTTAAAAGAATCTCCAATAAACCACGTAAGAAGAATAAACGGACTTTTGTAGGTTGATAATGGAAATGGAATGAATAAAATGAGACAACCGATTAATAAAGTATAATTCTCATGAAAGTAAATTTGGACCCGTACCTAAATCCCGAAACGGATTGATTTTTATAATTTTGTAATGCTTGAGGCATAGGAAGTGTGCTTTCGATTCCAAGTGCCTTGAATTTATAAAAATTTGTGAAATTTTTATGCCAAACATGAGAAGATATAAATATTACAGCGTACCAAATATCCTAAAAGTTCTATAAACCAAACTTGATCACCAAAAAAGTTAAAAAAAAATATCAAATGCCCAAGTAAAACTATTAAACAAGTCATATAAGGCATAAAAGATCTCCAATTCCAGAACCAACGTTTACGATTGTGAATTGACAAAGTCGGGCTACGATATCTAATACATTCGTAAAGAAGCCATGTTTGAACGATAATCATTACTATGCTTTGATATAGAAGTATAATGTCGAATCGTTTGCCAATCCTGTGAATGATAAAGAATATTCAAGAATGATTCGATAAAATAAGTCATCAACTAAAAAAAAAAACTTACCAAAAGAAAACACGAATTATGCTAAATATATAAGCAAATGTTAAATAGTGGTCAGTATGTTAATTGCATCAAAATCTCGAAAGTTTGAAATTATGCTACTAATGAATAGTAATTACAGCAACTGATATCCTCGACTTTTGTAAAATAAATACCTGCTAATCAATAATATTCCAGGGGTGTCTAAAGAGAAGCCAAAACTAGATTTCATCGTTCTAAATTTTATGATTTGATCTATATAACCTAGTACTGGTCCGAAGACCATCAAAATTCCTAAAAAATTATCCAACATTTTTGACAAAAGAAATGAACCTAACTTAATATCGAATATGCATTTACCGCAATTATTACTGTACTATATAATATTATACTGTTATACGCCGTGTAACATTCGTTGTATTAATGCGATTTGAATTTTTAGACATTCTGAACACTTCAAATCCTCAACTCGTTTTAAATTAACACTTCTTTTTTTTATCATTGGAGAATTTTGAAACCAACCTTTCGTTAAATCCTTTTCAAAAATTCAAGTATCCTGAACATGTCCCAATTTCGAAGAGCGTCAAGTAAAGGTATTGCCCATGTGAGAACAATTTTAGTTTGTTTAATAGTCTTAATGCTAAATTATTAAACACACACTATCGATTTTTAGGTCCGTTAATTGTACTTACTCCCGAGGAAAAACGGGTATATGGTCAACTGTTCCAACTTGCTGATGTTGATAAAAAGGGTGTGATCGAAGGGCAACATGCCGTTAAATTCTTTTCAACTTCTGGTTTATCGCCTTCAATTTTGCGTGAAGTAAGTGTTTTACGAAATTTCAATAGTAATCAGATCTTTTTTTTTCTTTTATAAACTTTAAATTTGTTATGAATTTAGATATGGCAGATTGCAGATAGTGAAAACTTGGGCTATTTAACACAGCAAAGTTTTAGTGTTTCCGTAAAGTTAATCGCTCAGGTACAAAATGGGCAATCGCCTGATCTCGCAAATATTAATACTGGTAATTTATTTGTTATTGTAATTGTATTTTTTCTGTTTGATCAAGTTTGATTATTTCCTAACTTTAGATAATTGTAATTTCCAGCTTCACCTCTTCCACGTTTTGATGGAGTTTATATAATCTCAACCGAAGACCGAGAAAAATATATACGAATGTTTATCGGGCTAAATCCTGTCAATGGCGATTTGGATGGTATTTTTTCTTCTAGTCTATTTGTAATTTGAGGGCATTTGCATTTTTTAAAACCAATATTATTTTTAGGCGATAAAGTTAGAGATGTACTCACGAAATCGAAATTATCCTTTGACAAACTCAGCCAGATTTGGTAAAAGAAATTATTTATTCATTCGAAAAAGCTTCAATCATTATTTAAATTATGAGCCAACTTTTTGATATGATTTTCAAGGACATTGGCTGATACAAAAAAGCGAGGAAAATTGGATATGGCGGAATTTATTATAGCAATGTATTTTGTGCAAAATGCTATGAACGGTTCAATTAAAAGCCTTCCATCTGTACTCCCAGATGGATTCTATGACATGGCTTCAGGAACAACATCGAATGCGCCAACCTTTCCCACTTCGCCACAACCTCCTTCTAGGCAAATTGCCGGTGTTGTTGATGCACCAATATCGCCTATTACTCAAGACTATTCGTGGGACGTGACTCCTGAAGATAAAGCAACTTACGATAAATATTTCAATTCCCTCGACGGAATTAGCAATAAAGGATATCTCACAGGTGACATGATCGTCCATTTAAATATCTTTGCAAGCTACAATATATATATGTATATGTATATATCTTAGAATGAAAACATTGCTTAATAGGCGATGAAGCAGCAAGTTTCTTCATGAAATCTAGATTAACGCCAAATGTATTGGCACAGATATGGTAAAATTAATTTATGGCTCTTTTCGGTTCTACGATCAGTATCATTTTTCAATAGCCCTTTACAAAACAATGACCGGATATAATCTAGGGACCTTTCAGATATCAGAAAATCTGGTTCTCTTAATCGTGATGAATTTGCTGTTGCCATGCACCTAATAGTTAAAAAGATGAATGGTGCAATTCTACCTGCCACTTTACCACCAAGCCTTATTCCACCGTCAATGCGATCTATACCTGGTAGGTCCCCGGCTATTTAATAATGAGTAATTATTGGTACTTTTTTAAAGCAAATGTAATTATAGTGTATCTAATAGCCAAAGATATGGGTCTTTGCTAGGAATTTTTTGTTTATGAAAATAGATTGATTACGATTTTCTAATGAAAATCTCATGCAACAAATGCGATTTCCTAGTAAAGGTCCCATATACGTTCGTCGTCTTTTTTTTTTTTTTTTTAATGATTCTCCTAAATATTCTCGCTCTCAGTAAATCGATACAAGCTATTATTTCTTTAAGAGGACTACAATTGGACTGATTCATAATTGCACTATACTAATCGTTTGATTAATACACTTTAAAACAGCTACGTTTCCTGGCTCTTTAACAAGGTCAGGAACCATAAAAAACACTCCCTTAATTGGAAGTCCCCCAATGGGAAAACGTGCATCATTATTGATGTTCGAGCAAGGTCTTAGTGTTTCATCACCATCGCCTTTTTTTAATTCTAATCCTATTACTCAGAGTACGAAATAATCATATACATTTCAAGTGTGTTTCATGTTATTTCATTCTGTGAACAAGTATTTATTATCTTTTATAAACAGGTCCAAATGAATTTGATCTACTTGGAGATACCGATATAAACACCAAAGTGGCAATTGAAAATGGTGAAATTAGGGCACTTAAAACGCAAACAGATAATTTAACTGATGCTGTTTCAGAATTTAAATTAAGTCGAGCTAATATCGACACAGATTTGGCCAATCTTGCCATTCAAAAAAATGAAATATCAACGCGACTTTCTCAGGTTCGTACTCTATATGATTCTGAACATAGGTCTTTACAAGAAGTTCAAGCAAATTATAAAATTGAGTACGAAAGCCTTGAGCGTGCAAGGGAAGAACTCGCTCAAGCTGAAAGAGCGTTAGAAAGTTTACAATTAGAAAGAGATCAATTCCAAGCTAGTATCCAAAAAGATCGTGATGAAATGCAGGATATTAAAAGAAGAATGAGACTCGCTGAAGAAAAAAATGTGTCCATAAAGGCTGAAATTGAAAGACTCAAAACAGAAAGTAGAAAACAAAAAGGATTACTCGATATCAATAGGATGCAATTGACATCTGCAGAGAAAGAAAAGGATAAAGCCTTAAAGACCTTACAAGATCTTGAAGGTAGAGATATATCAGATGATGATCCATTTGGTACTGGCGCATTTATACCCCCAGCAGTAAATTTATCTGACAGTTTCTCGTCACAAGGGAATACAAATTCGCAACCTGGCCTGGAATTTATTGAGAATTCTAGTCCGTCAAGAACCATCATCCATAATCAACATTCTTCAATATCATCTCTTGAAGGTGGTGTTAAAAGGACAATGTCAAATTCTTCACTTGCTTCTAATTCCACTATAGGTACATCTAGTGTCAGATCGTCATCATTTAATACTTCAAAATTGGAAGAAACTATGTTCGACAAATCCAATTCTGCACCCAATTCTAAGCCAATTGATGTAAATAGTATATTTGGTGAAAATACAGTGAGCACCACTTCTCAAGACAGTGAGACTGCAGTTAGTGGATCTCGTAGTGTAAATTCTGTTGATACTTCACTTAACACACCTTTTACAGGATTTAATAAAGACATGACAAAATCTGATAACGTCCCACAGCAAATGGTTGAAAAGGGTGAAGAAAAGTCGGACACAGATCCTTTTGCATCATTTAGCAATTTCAAAAGATCATCGATTGGAAAAACAGATTATACTTCGACTTTCACAACGACATCGAGTTCGAATGATATAACATCAGAATCGTTTGCAACAGAGTTCCCTAGTATAGAAGAAATTGAAGCATCTGTGGAAAGCGGATCTAAAATAGGATTTAATAATGACTTTTCTAGTATTCCTACTAATACAGAAAATAAGGATGATACTACTTTAAATTTGGATGTTTCGCATGGTAACCCTATCTCGAGTGAGCCAGAATCCATTTTACCAGGAAATTCATCAACTGACAAGGAAATACCTATGGAAGAAACCAAGGATAATATAAACGCATATGATAAAGAGGCAGAGTCGTCTTTTGCACCACCTATCGCGGGAGAGATGTCGGAATCTTTGGGGGGAGGAATGACGTCTCTGAAAGATACCGAATCATGGATTTCTGTAGAGAAGTCGTCTGAAACAAAATCTACAACACAAATAGATGATTTTGATACAGTATTTGCAGATTTAACAGATGCCAAAGTAACAAAAACGCCACCTATTAACTTTGATGCAGATTTTGATGACACAGACTTTAAAGAAGAATTTAATCCCACATTTGATGCACCTGTTACGCATTCTAAAGCTACGTCCAATACAAATAGTATCGGAAGTAACGTGGGTGTAACATCATCAATTAGTTCAACAAAAAATAGTTCAACAGATTTTGACAAATTTGGTAAAGCTTTTGGAGGGTTTGACCCCTTTTCATCAAGCACAACTTCCAACGCTACTAAACCCAATCTGGTAGAAGCAGCATTTGGTGGAATTTCGGGAGAGCCACAAAAATCAACGAATCCATCTGTTGGTTTTGATGATGCATTCGAGGAATTCTTTAAACCATCGTCTACACCATCTACCAAAACAGAACCACCATTGGATCCGAAGTCCATAACAACTAATGAATTAAAAACATTAATTTCATCAGAATCGTCACAACCAAAGGTACAAAGCGTGGATGTGGATGATAATGATGATGATGTAGAGCAAGTCAAACAATTAAGAGCTATGGGATTTTCGAGGGAAAGATCTATAGACGCACTTGGGAGATACGATTACGACATAGAAAAAGCAACCAATTTTTTGGTGGAAAATCTTTGATATTAGATTGTTAAAATAGTATGATAATCAATTATAAATATCACAATATATGAATTTAATCATTTTATGACTGTAATAATTACATGTGTATACATTCATTTATACGTATCATTTTAACAATAATTTATGTTTATGAAATTATATATATATATAAACAAAAAAAAAGGTTTACGATTATGACTAGTTAATCGTCTATTGAACATATTAACTTATCGATTGCATAAATATTTTAGTAATATGCACCTGGATGGTCGAATCTACTGATTTATAAAAAGTTTTTATAATATTTAAATCGACAGTATTAAATCCAACTAGCTAGTATTTTTTTCTAGTACCCACGGGTATTGGAATATTTATTGTAAGAAACGAATTTATCTGATTGATTATTGATTCTTACTGTATAATAAATTCTATATATTTATGATGATTTTTATTATATATATGTCATAAGTGGAAATGGAATGTAAGTGATTTGGAATTTTTTAGTTAAATTAGAGTTAGGGTGTTTATAACTCGGTTTAAGATTTTTTGTTTCGAAATAAACCCCGGGGCGTTATTTCGTGAGCTACCCGTGAAAGATCGACAATATGCACCAATCAGATGATCTGCACTAATTAAACAATCGAATTTTTAAAGTAATAAAAAC